ACACAGTAAAGACCAGAGAGCGTATCATCATTCAGGTCAAGTATGACTTTATAGGACAGTCAAACCCTTTGTAATTAACAGGGCTGCTTGTGCATGGAAGTATCTATTTCCTGAAGACACAGATACAACAATCCCTATGAGAACCAGGAAAGCATTAATCCAAAATTAAAGTTTTTGAGTGAAGGCCAACATTGCTTGTTTTAGCATTAAATGCAAAATGTTTGCAAATCCCAAATGACAGCATTATTCCAGTTCCCCAATTCATGGGAATCAAAACATGGAGTATGTGTAGAACATGAATTTTAAAACAAAGGTAACGTGATTGTTGACTACAAGTCAGGGGTGCATATGCATGCTGGGCTGCATGAGCACGAGCACAGACAGCAGGATGAGGGAGGTGACTGCTCCCCTCCGCTCAGCACTTGTGAGACCACACGTGAATACTGTGCCTGGTTTGGGGCTTCACAGCTCGGCTGTACAGGCTCTCAGCAACCTTGTACAACTTCAAAGTATACCCTGCACTGAGTGAGGAAAAAGGCGGCATGGTTGGGGAGAGGACCAGATGATGTTCAAAGGTCCCTTCCAACCTAAACAATTCTACAATTAACACATTTGCACTGTCCATGCTAACAGATGGGTAAAACCCCTAACTAAGCAGCACTACTCATTAGGGGGACAATCGAGAACTGGTTAATAGCATCAGTAGGAAAGCCAAGGTATAGGCAAGCCTTTCTAGAAGATCCAGGTCAGAGGTGCACAAAGCTCAGCTTGAGTCACACTTCATACTTTACTGCAGACCTAGGTCTGTTCTTTCCGTATTGTGTCAATTCAGGACATTCCCCCAAAGGCCATCAACTGACATGTTTCATTGCTGCATCATTCAGCTAACTAGAAAACACAAGCAACCCACATGCCACAATAAGGGTGGTGTTCAGAGTTTACTATCAACCATGCTAAAAAAATGCAACATGCCCTGTGTAACCTTGAGGTCTATTCCCCCCAACAAATGTAAATCTATACCTGTACTCTGTATCACAAGAGAAGACCTAAAGACCCCTGGGGACAAGACCTCACTGATGTCTTTTTTAATTCAAGTGCAACATGGTACTACATTGATAACACTACACGGTCTATAGTCTGAACAGTCAAGCAGTTCTTTTAACGACTAATACTTTAAGCCTGTGGTGTAGTAGGGCTCAACGTTTTCTACAGAGGATGGTACCTCTATGTGCTCAGCACTATACAAATACACAGAAAGTCCTTAGCCCAAAGGTGGCAGGATATAAACAAGCAACAAAGTAGATGGATGCTGTCTGGGAAAATGGCAAGGGTACATATTTGCTTATTTGTGTGTCCCCCAAAATTACAGTACCCCTCAAAGCCAAGTTTAGCTGTATTCATCCCCTATAGAAATGGTTGGTTACCACTGTATCTAGCCTAGATCCAGAAAGGGCAATGAACTGCATGTCTTATTCTCTTTTGTATATTCACAGAAAGTGTTATCTTTATTGATAGATATACTGTTATGACTTATCAGCTTCCAAATACCAAAGATTACGTATCATGGTTTCAATCCAACCTCCTTGGTTGAAAGGAAAAATCCTTACACAATGGATTAATGATTTGTTTATGTTTGAGGATCTGGACAGTTGTTAACATGTTCTGTTTATTCTCTGGACAAAGATAGTTTGGATTAGCTATAACCCGAAGGAAATCAGGACTTCTAAAAATAGGCTGAGGTGGCCAATAATCCTTTAGGAGTTGTGATACACACTGATAACCAGATTAAATGAGGAATTATGAGTAACCCTTAGCGGGAAGATCTGAAATGGAAAACCCAAAGAGAAAATGACTACATAAAGAACAGTCTGTCCCTACATCCATGCTGTCATCAACGAGCACAGTATTCAAGGAGAAAGTCGCATCTAAAAAGCTGTGTAAGCATCTTGACAGCTAGTTAGTTGGATGACACATAAAACCTCTTGGAGCTGGATCTAAAACATTCATAATTATGTGTTTGGTTTTCTTTCATTTCTGTTTATCTGTAGCTTCTCTTTATTATTCTCTGGGCTGCAGAAAGAAATTATTCTTGATTTTTATTTCAATGTTTGTCTCTAGAACAAAAATTATTTCCAGGGTGCTGGCTGGCAAATTGAATTCCCACAGCGTGTTAATCCTTAAAACTGCACCACATAAAAGCTCTCTCACAGACCTTAGCACCTTTATACAAGACCAAAGGATAACCAGTATGTGCCTGAACTTAAAGAGCTTCCCTAAATATTTAACAACACAGCTATTCACTGGACTTAGCCATTTTCCAGGTAGCTCAGATTACATGCAGCATCTGACTCCCAAGGCTTGAAGCACAGGAAAAGGAGCCAGAAGGACACTGACAGAATATGAATCTGCTCCTACAATTGTAATTTAAGTATTCCTGTTTTAAGATCAAGGGAGGCAATCCCCACTGCTGGAATCCAGCCTGGTTTGGGCAGGACAGGGGAAGTGAAGGTCTCCTGCTCCACCTACACCTAATGCCTAGTACAGTGGGGCTCTAGGTTCAGCTGGACCCCCTAAATGCTTCCACCACACAAGTACGAACAATAGCAAGCTCATCTCTGTTGAAAGTTTTCCCCTGTAAAACTGCTTCAGCTATCTGCACCACTTTGCATCTGTGTTCTACATGCCTGCAGAAATGTTTTGACCAATTATTTGTAAGACCACTGGACAAATATATCATTCATCAGCACAACCACCCAATTATAATACAGCTGCGGCGATCTGTCTGCCAGCTGGTGCTTTGTGTAAACGACCCATTCCAGAAGAATAGGCTTCCTGTTTTTTTGTGGGTTCCCTCACTACCTGCTTAATCATCAGACCATACAAATTATGGAGTGAGAGGAACCTTGGCACCTGGCTCTTAAAGTCACAGGCTATGGTGCTAGTAAAGTGATAAACTTCACTAGGGTAGACCACATAACTGCACTCCTCCACTCTCCTTAGAGATACACCACTTGTCTCTTCGTTCTGTTGTGATTTCACTTCAACCTGCCAAATATCAACTAAAGTAAAGAGCAGAAAGTTACCAGGTGCTCTTCCTTTAACTATTAACCAACAAAACCCGTCAAAACTATCTCCATTTTAGCAAAGAGGAATTTGTCAGTGTAAAGTACCTGGGCAGTGACTAAACCCTGTCACTGTTCTTATGGGAAAAAGCTACTTGCTATTCTTGGTAAAGGGAAGGTCTTTCAAATCAAGATAATGTTTCACTTGTTTTTCAGAAACGAACTTAATGGGGGTGGGGAGGGAAGCAAGGAAGCAAAAATAAATTCTACTTTGCAGCAAGTTAAATTACTCAGAGTTTCCCAAAATGAGAGGCTTGGTCAGAAGCATTGGAAAGTTTAAGAAATACTCCTTTAAAAACAACTCCCACAGAGCAAAGCTCCCTTTCCATGACCAAAAGGCATGTGAGCAAGCCAGGTCATTCTGTCTAGGCTCCCCACACACACACACACACACACAAAATTTAATTGATGGGGTAGGTGGTGGTAGCGATCTTTTTTTTTTTTTTTTTTTTTTTTTTTTTTTTTTAAAGAGTTGCACCTCCAACCCCAATTTTCCCCTCACTTGCAGGAGCGAAGTGGGCAAATGCCACCAGCACATTAGTACCTCAGCCATCCTGGTTGGGGGCGAGGTAGAAAAAGAAATTCCATCATCATTTCTGTCCATGCTTTCGCTGATCATCCTTGCCTGCCAAAGCAGGAAGGAAAATAACGGCCACATGGAGATACTGCCTCTGCATGCTTTAAGATCTTTGTTATCCTCAGGAGTTGCAATGAAAGCAAGACTGGCTAGGCATTGTGTTAATGATACTGTCAAGAGGCCAAAATAAAGTGACACACCACAGCCCAGCCTTCTGCTATCAGGACTACTGTCCCACGCTCATTTAGGCAATCAGGGTAACAGGCTGGAGAATATGCCAGTGGTCTGGAAAAGGAGATCTTGACACTTGGCTCTTACTGATAAGAACCTGGATCCACTCAGAATATGATTCTGCCAGATGCTGATGGTTATACAAAGCACACCAATACTGTAGTTTTGCCACACAACTATTTTGCAACTATCAAACACACCTACAACAAAACCAGTTTGGTGGGAGGGACCTCCTTATATTTTCACAAGTGGTTGCTGTCAGCAGGCTGAAATCTTGATAAGCTACCCAGCAAACCCGGCTGACTTCACTGAAACCCTGCCGAAGACAAGTCCTGAGATGAAAAGCTACTGCAAGACAAGAGAGGACAACCATATTCAGCATCTGGCCAAAACTTGCTTCCAGCTGCATCAAAGATCCAGACAGATTCCATCCAAAGGTCAGCAGCTACCGTTTTCAATGAGGAATGTGCTGCTTTTGAGAGACAATGTTGTCACTGTGATCCACTTCCCCTACTCAGGGCAATCAGTCCATTGTTCCCACTGAAAATGAGAAGGGCTCGAGACCTCTGAAATGGAAACTGCCTTTAAATCCAAATCATCCTAAAGCATAAACACAGACTAATGCATAACAGATTGATGCTACTTACAATAAGCAACTCTAAAAGACACCCCTTCTCCCTAGTTTCTCGGAAGAAGAAAACAAACAAACAAACAAACAAACAAAAAACTCAAGTATCCCAAGAATCCAGAGCATATGTAGTCATTCTGTAACGTATTACACTTTGTAGTATAAAACCAAAACCAACCAATCTCTGTACTGTCTAAATGTGAATTTACTGGCTATCTACTTTTTGAAGCCAATCATATGTTGATAAAGCTGGGCTATGTAGCAATTTAATTTGAACACTTCATTCATGATATGAACAAGTTGAAATTGCACACACACTCTGATTTAGAGTTTCTGTAAGAAAAAGACTTTATCCATTCAGGGCTCTTACAATGAAGGAATAGGGAATACTAAAAAGTATTCTTAGAGGCACAGAAGGGAGACAGCGAAGTGCAGAACTTACCTTCCACTGCAAAGAATGGAACCACTGATCCCTCAGGTAACTGTTTGCAGCCTGTAATAAACAAAAGTTACAAACAGAATCATTAGTTTCTACCAGTGTTTCAGATCACCCAGCCAAAACTAAGCAAGTGACCCATGAGGCTGCACTCACCCAATTCTTCTCAACTTTATGACCCTGGTTAACTTCACCCCCAGCCTCATCTGAGTGAGGGAAACTCTGCTCAAAGCTACACTTTACATTATAACCAGTTTATTTTCACAGAAAGCAGTGACATGAAGACCTTGCTGCAAATGGAAAATACTGAACCAAACCCTTACAAAACATTAACCTCCTATGAAACGGTGTCCAACCCAAAGACTGAAAAATCCTCCTTGATTTCAATCAGGTTTTGGTCAGATCTTTAATGTCTGTAGGACATTTGCCTTTGCTATTAATCATGGGGAGCAGAGTAAGAAGACAGGTTGACTTTTACTAGGAGGGGTGGGTTTTCTCCATACTCCAGTTTCCCTTCTTGTCCTGTTCCTCAGCTGGCCCCAAAGCAATTGAAATAACGTCTTAGCTCTTTCAGCGATATTATAACAGAGTGAAAAGCGTAACACATACAGACGTGCAGATACATGCACAGACTGGTTGCAGCAACGGCATAAATGTTGCAATAATCACTCCCAGCGATCACCCGTTTTTGTCTGTATTAAAGCAGAGCTGCCAGAAATTCTCAGTGTGAAGCCAGGTCCGTAGCCAATGAAAGAATAGTTCAACACTCCCAAAGGTCAAAAGGCTCGGTATCAAAAAATATAAAAGCATCTGGAGTGACGTAAATATGCATGCCTTAACAAGGTGACATAAGTTTGAAATATTTGAGTGGGTAGAGATGCCCTTTGGCTTTTCCAACTCTATCTCATCGCTGCCAATGGGCAATTTTTACTTACGATTCAAAATGTTGCAACACAATCAGTGAAAATTACAGGATAGCCCAGAAATCCATGTTTAAAAAAAAAAAAAAGGTGAGGCTCTTCACCAGCTAAAAACCACATTCTTCTTGCAAATTAAAGCATCCTTCAACAAATTTCACTCCCCCACACCTTTTCAGGTAAGTATTCAAAATCCACACCACACAATGAATTTTATTTCCTGACACTGGTTCAGTTCACTGATAATGGCACGAATACTAGAAGTAAAAAAGTTGCACGGTTACCAAAACTGTGTTTAATTTCAAGGTTAGATACTGATGTCACGGTGACATAAATTCGGACTGATTTCTCTGAATTAAATGGAGTAATGCTCTTTTATATATGTATTAAGATCTCTAGGCAATAAGGCAGAATAAATCTATCATAAATAATCTTGGCTGACCACAGAGTTTATCAAAAACGAACTTTCCATTTCATGAAGAATGCTGACATATCAGAATATGAATTTGCATAATTGAAACAAAAAGCATAATTTCCTTTTTTTTTTCTTTGCAGATCTTCAGGATATTTTGGTTTGCCAATATTTAATGATTTTCTTTCTGTTATTTACACAGTATTTTATGTATATGTGTGCATTATAACATATGACAAGCTAGACCTTTTACCTATATATATGTTGTAGAATTGAATTTCAATTCAAAATACTTTATACTATATTTTAATAAAAAGGTCAAAAATAATTTGCCACAAAAAGTCTGAAGAACATTTTTAACATAATTAAAAAGGCATGAAGTAAATATGCTTAGATATTTATCTTTGTCCAGACAAAATGCTTTAAAAACCCACCAGATTTTGTTAAAAGATTCAATTTCAAATTGAACCTTTTTTCTTCTTTTCTTTTTTTTCCCCCTCTAAAGGAGAAAACTGTTTCATGGAGGGGAACAAAAACCCTTCATTTCAAATGCTAGCATCAAAGCCCTTTAAAGAACAAGTAAAACTGAAAGTTTTTGTACGCTTGAGCATGTATACTAAGCAATAGCGCCAATAAAACTGCAAGTTACACAGCCATTATTTCCTTAAAAAAAACATATGCAGATTGATTATATAGGAGCTATGCAAACTAAGATACTGTTATTTAAATTTATAAAATCCAACATATTCTAGGGAGATGAAGTACTTCTCTCAAACAGGCAAAACGTCAACCTGATTTAGTCTCTGGTCTGACCATTACATGAGTTGAACAAAAATGCACTGAAGTCTGAAGCAAGAGCAAATGCTAAAGCCCTAAATGGGAACTGTTGAGAACTGTTAATTATTCTCCTACTTTTGGGATGTCAGTAGCTACAGACTCTAAGACCACTACAAATAATTACAAAATACTATGTGGAGAGAGACTGTGCAACCGACTGGAGCCTTACATAAACTGGATGACAGAAACTATTAATGAGGACAACAGAATCAGGCAGAGGTAGACACAAAAGTGGACTGCAAATACTGGAGGAGAAAACAAAGAAAGAATGCTATAGAAGGCAAAACCAAAACTGGCAGAGGAAAGACTTGTTTAACTTGACAGCAGTGATATACACAAAGCATTTAAAAAGTAAAATTAGCAAAGTGACCAGGTTCCAAGTGTGGGACCAAGCACTGTCTACTCCTAGTGTTAGCTATTGTAGAGGAGAAGTGATCAAGAAAACTTGCATCTGGGTTAGGAGTTTGAACCACTCTAAAACTAGAAACCCTCAGAGCTTGGGTTGTTGTTCAAGGCCGCTTCCAAAGAAAACAAAGACAAAGAAGACAACATGAACACAGAAGTGGAAAAACAAACCTTTAGGGAATCCCCACACTTCTATTAATGATCAGGACTCAACGGTAAGAGGAACTTGGAAAGCCAAAGGTCATTTCACCAGCGCTCTTTCCACAGTGTTCAACCCAGATAGACTGAATGCATTTAACCCAACCACCGCTATCTGGATGGAGCTGTCTGACACCAGCATTCCCCACTTCTCCCAGGCAGCAGAGGCTAATCCCTCCAGTGCACCCTTCCGCCTGCCTGACTTCAGCAAGCTGCAAAACCACAGCGATGTGCAGGAAACACTGGATCTTTTGCATAGAACAACGAAGTCCTCGCTCTTGCACAGCATCCCTCCTTCCTCCCTCCTCTTTTTCAGGCTTACACTGAGAAAGGGACTACAAGGAATATTTCTTTCTTACCAAAAGAACTGGGAGCTTCATAGCATGCCGGGATGACAGAAGAGCCATCAGGCTCGTGTCAGTGCTCATCCAGACAGCTGTCCAGCCAGTGGCCACCTCTGCCCACACTGACTTACTCAAGCATACAGGTTATTGTGCATAAAATTTCTGAAGTTTGGAGCAATGCGCACCGAAGTGTAAAGCACTGGAGAGAACAACAATTCATTTATAGGGGCTGCACACACACATTTACAGTTTTATCTGTTGTGCATTCCTGGAGCCCAGCACTTCTGCACTGAAGCCATCACTTCCCAGGAACTGACACCTACATTTTTTCACTCCAGCTGAGGGCATAACCTACTGTATTTATTCCGCTCTAGGGTACAGTAAAGAGGAGAAAATGAGACACAAAAGACTTTAAAACAGGCTTTCCTTAGGCACTCTGACCACACAGGGAAAGTTTTTCTTACTCTCAGCCTTGCCCACACAGTGGGTCCAGTTCTACACCACTAATCTTACAGCTACCTTTTCAACTTAACAAAAAGATTCAACCTGGAAATGTTTTGCCTGCTGTTGTTACAAACAGTCAATGAGATAGGAATGAAGTACAATGGAGATTTTATAACCTGTTGTGCTGGTTTGGCTGGGGTAGAGTTAATTTTCTTCGTAGTAGCTAGTATGGGGCTGTGTTTTGGATTTCTGCTGGAAACAGTGTTGATAACACAGGGACGTTTTCGTTATTGCTGAGCAGTGCTGACACAGGGTCAAGGTCTTTTCTGCCTCTCACCCCACCCCACCAGCGAGCAGGCTGGGGGGGCACAAGGAGTTGGGAGGGGACACAGCCAGGACAGCTGACCCCAACTGACCCAAGGGATATCCCACACCATACGACGTCATGCTCAGCATATGAAGCTGGGGGAAGAAGAAGGAAGGGGGGGACGACATTCGGAGTGATGGCGTTTGTCTTCCCAAGTCACCGTTACGCGTGATGGAGCCCTGCTTTCCTGGAGATGGCTGAACACCTGCCTGCCGATGGGAAGCAGTGAATGGATTCCTTGTTTTGCTTTGCTTGCGTGCGCGGCTTTTGCTTTCCCTATTAAACTGTCTTTATCTCAGCCCACGAGTTTTCTCACTTTTACTCTTCCAATTCTCTTCCCCATCCCACCGAGGGGGAGTGAGCGAGCAGCTGTGTGGGGCTTAGTTGCCAGCTGGGGTTAAACCACGACACCTATCCATGTAAAATAATAGTTTGGGCCCCCTGTGTGTTTAGTATGTTTAGGCCCCAATTCTGCTAAGAATTTTGTTCTCAAATGCAATGGCTTTAGCAGGGTTGTGTGTGGCACACAGTCCAACTGATTGGAGCTTCTTGCACAATCGAGGCCTCCTCTTGTTTTTGCACAACCACAACATAGTAGAAAAGTACTTTAGAAAACAGGAAAATGTGGCAGTAAAACTCTTAGAAGGTGCAAGAGGATTCAAACTATTTGTAGCTTATTTATTATTATTCCACTGAGGAGGAAGAATATCTACTTTAAAAAAAAGTACTACCTACAGTAGGCATTCTTAAGATGAGTTGATCCTGGAACTGTGTTCTGAAGGATTTTATATTCTAATTTTTGGGGTGTAAATGTTCAGTCAGAGAGGAAAAGCCACCTGGGATCAGCTGCAGTACCAACTTACTCATAGGATTAATTTCATCAGCTTCAAAAAGACTGCTCAGAGCAGGAAAACTGTGCAAGAGATTAAATGCCTGCATATACAGAGCTTTGGTCAACATGAGTAAATTTACATCTTTGCTCAAAAAGGGAAGTATTTTTCTCTGCACCCAAACTACTTCATTACTTCCTACTCAATGAGTAGGAATACACTTTTTCATTAAAAAAGCAACTTTTTAAAAGCAGATTTTCTTTTTGCTCACAAAAATAGGAAACTGACCACTTGTTTCATGCC